AGGACCAAGAGCTAGGGTCGCCGAGCTCTGCTTAATTGACGATTCAGGAACTGTCCCTCCCAATTCTGCCAAGAAGTTCTGATACTCATCATCCATTTTCTTTCCAGTAGTATTTTTCACTGGACAATCTATAGTGGGATGTCCCCCATCACCACATATTTTGCAGAGAACGTCACTCTTAAACGTGGTGGTGCGAGAAGGACAAGCATACTGCCTATGACCCGGTTCACCACATAGCCTACAAAACTCCTCATCTCTAATCGTTCCATTCAACGCTGCAAGTTCCCTGAGCTGTTGCCTTTTATGCTCATTAAGTACTTCATCGACAGGTTGCAAAAGCTTCTCCAACATAGCTGCAGCCGCCTCAAGCGACTCCTGAGTATCAGCTTCCACTAACACGTGTAAATCCTCATTCTCCGCAGGATCATGCTTCAAATTCCCCTTCTGTTGTAACCTCCCCTCTTTAACCGACCCTTTCCCTCGAATCACAATCTTCGCTCCTGTCTCCTTCTCCATCCTCTTCTGAGTATTCCCTCTCGGCCCAATAATCAGCCCAATAAAATTATAACCCGGGTACTCCTTCATCGGAATGTATAGCTTCTTCTGAAGCTTAGGAGGCCTATAATCAGCTGGTGGCTTAAAGGCAGGATTTTTCTTTATTATCTGCGATATAATCTCTTGTCTCTCCCTATTCAATTTCTCTCGGGCACGATACTCCCTAGTATTTATACGTACACCCATATTATCATATATAGGTTCAGGGGAAGGCGAACGAGCGCCTTCAGGTCTATCATCTAAAGGTAAACCAGATTGCAATTTCCTACTAATTTCAAGTAATCTACTATTAAGAGCTTGTACTTCAGGATCAAATTCAATACCTCCAGCAAAATCTTTCATGAAATCGGGCAACTGAATCACCGGCTTCGGTTCATCGTCTGCCCACCTTGATTTCCTCTTTCGCCCGGTCCCACTTCCATCATTTTCAGTACCATCCTCTGTCGGAGGTGGGTCCCATCGGCTTCTCCTCCTCCTCCTCCTACTGCTCGTTTCTTCTTCGCCCCCTGATTGGTCCCTCTCTGCACCACTATGAGTGTTATTAGTCAACCCATTTTCCGACAACAATGGCTTCTGCAACATAGGATCCGAATTCGAATTCGGGTCGACCTGATTTTGCTCCAAAGACAGCTGGTGTTGAACCGAATTATCACCTGCATGAGCTTGGTTCTCATGAGATGAGTTTTCTAGAAAGTTCTGATTGTCTGAACTCATCTTGTTCATCTGGGCATTTTCACGAACACTTGGTGGGGGATCTTGAGGATATGAATCTAGGGTTTGTGAAGGGTTTTGATAGTACGGATCTGAATGAGGAGGGTACTGTTCGTATGAATTTAGGTTTTGTGAAGGGTCTTGAGCTAGGGCTTCGGAGGGAGCAACTGGGTGGGATTGGGAATCCATTGGAATTCGAATTAAGGGAGGAATAAATTGAAGAGAGGAAATATAAGCGGGATTGTAAGAAAGAGAGAGAGAGAGAGTATATCGTGAATCTAAGTTTAGATTTTGGATAATACTGCGACTTGAAAAGGGCGGTTTTAGGCTTAAACCATTTGGGCTTGATATTGGGCCACCATTTCCTTGGTCTCTTTCTGCTGGGCCTCTAGTATGGTCCTGAAGGGGAAAATGCACAAATAGCCGTTTTTAGGACCCCTGTTTAAAAAATGAAGAATTAATACAAATAGCCGCCCACTCAACCATTTAAACTAAATGTAGCCGGTCTGGAGGTATAATATATGCATAATTTATGTGTTATACATGTATAATCTATGTATATAACTAGAAAAGTAAACAATAAATATGACCCACTATATGTATAAAGATCCTTTAAAAAATAATAAAAAACTAACAAACTTTTTAAAGTTTAGCCGTCTTAGAATCAACTTCAGATTGTCGGCTCTGAAATGAGCCTCTATGAAAGTCTAACTTTAGATCTACATTCTAAAGTTTGAATGTAGTTCAAATTCAGACTGAAGGTCTGGAGTTGACTCAAGGTATGAAGAAGACGATGAAGAAGCAACAACAACAGCATGAGCTGTCTGAAGTTTGCCAAAACTGGCTAAAATCTTAAATACTTTTTAAAAACTGGATATATTCGGTGCAAATTATTCGGCTAGTGGGTTTCTGATACTAGATATTTAAAGCAAGCCTACAACAAGATCCAAATTAGAATTCTGATTTGGGGTTCAATACTAGAACAAATAATTGGTGTAACACCGGTTTAGACAAGAACATTGCCTAGGAATTCTTTTGAATGTTACGCAGTTCGACTAAAAAAAATTTAAAATTGTATATTTCTAGTAAATCGATACCAATATCGTAAAAAAAAAAAAAGGGTAGCATATATGATAATACTTCACATCAACTGATTTAAATTCTAAATCTAGCTCTAAAACAATCTCCATTTATATATAATCGAAAGAGAGATGAATGATCTTTAATTTATGAGGCACAAAAGAAACACAAAAGTCCCGTAAGGCAAATTTAATAATGTAACCTTAGTCTAAATCATAATAATAAGTTAGACGCGACAAATTGATCTGATCAAACTTTCCCAGCTAAAACCTACTCAATTTCCACGATTCTATTTGGAATGTCCATATCACGATGAGTTTATAGCTGGATTAGACTTCAATGTTTTTTCTTTCTTCTAATGTTTACACTATCTTTGTCCATACTGTTATTATTTGAAGTTTCAAACAACATTTCCATATACAACTTGCCTTTATCCCCATACTTCACTCTTTCAACATTTGTATATTTTCTAATTCTAAAGAGTTAGGCATTTCTCTGTAATGATCCAAAGAAAAATCTCTTGGCTTAGCACTAGTCAACTTGGGGGATGTCATATACTTTGTAGATATGTCGTAACAGTCACCAGTTTGGTCTCCTACCCCACAAAGTAACTTGATAGCCGAACCACTCCCAAGGCGAGTAGTACCTTAGGAGTCGATCCGACATCAATCGACTGAGATTCCCCACAACAGAAATGGACTGAGTCAGTATTCATCAACCAGAAGCGCACTCGGATGCCTTTCTGAGGCTTCCCCTTGTAAATCAAATCAAAACATAAGATGTTTGGCTCTCATATTCCGTGCGTATCCCATCATTTACTTGGGAAACTAGAGGAGGGTGTAGGTTTTTGTTCTTTTACAATATTTTAAAATTTTGAATTTAAAATTATCAATTGCTTTATTCAAAATTTCATGTGGTGTTGTTGCATAATTGAGTTCTAACTTTTGAGAAAAGCTGCCGAGCATGTAGTTTTTGTTTATTATTTATTTGATTTTTTTGATGAAATTAAAAAATATTGATTTAGTCCCAAAAGGAAGAAAAACTTGGACTTGGTTTGAGTCAACTTCAAAAATTCTTAGGAGATACTGGATATTCCTACAATATGTATTTAAAAAGATTGTGTCACCACCAAATTCTATATGGTCAGACAATGATCTTTACAATGACTGATTGGTATTTTGAGGTAACCCTCCACTGAAAAGCATGCCACAATAATATAATATTAATGTTGCTTAATATTCATGCCATATGGAGTATTAAATATTAATGTTGCACAATAATCATGCCACATGGAGTATTTTAGTATTAATGTTGGTCAATATTAAATTGGTTCCTCCATGCCTCACAACTAAAGATGGCAAAATGGATAAAATGTGCAAATATTAATTCATATTATCCGCTAAAAAAATAGATTAGATACCTGATGCACTTAAAGCGGGTCAAACATTGGTCAACTCATATTATCTAGTAAAAAAATGAATAACTCGCGGGAAATGATCTATTATATGATGAAATTAACTAATATCCATCGTTAAAAAAAGGGCAGCACAATGTACTAAGCTCTCGCTATGCACGGGCCCGAAAAAGGGCCGGACCACAAGGGTCTATTGTATGCAGCCTTACCCTGCATTTCTGCAAGAGGCTGTTTCCATGGCTCGAACTCGTGACCTCTTGGTCACATGGCAACAACTTTACCAGTTACGCCAAGACTCTCCTTCAAATATTTATACCTACCAAATCGCTTTTATTTATTGTAATATGTAACCTGTTTTATTTAAGATTATAAATTCTACTTTGTATGAAGAATTACTTGTAAATATATTTTGAGTGACATGATAATGTAATTTTTTTGGTGTAAATAAGTTAAACTATGTCATAAGAGAAAGATTCAAAATCTTGTTGAAATCAACTCACTCTTGTCGCTTTTGCTTTTAACAAGTGAAAGAAAAGGAGAATATATATTAGCATACACAAAAAGTTAAAGTTGTAACTCACTCTTCAATTTTCTTTCTTTGAGAGGTTGACTCTATACTTAGTTATACTTTCACAGGATCATTTTTCTTTCACCAAAAAAGAGAGGGAATAATATATTTACTTCTTCCTCTATTGTTCTAGGAAAGAAAAAAAATATCGGTACGAAACACCTTTTTCTTTAATAGATCTTACATGGTGCGAGTTCAAATTATTCGAGATTCCAATGCGAGTACCGAATACCAAACACCGAATATCGACAACAACAACAATAACAACCCAGTATAATCCCACTAATGGGGTCTGAGGAGGATAGTTTGTACGCAAACCTTACCCCTACCTGATGTAGAGAGATTGTTTCCGATAGACCCTCGGCTCCCTCCCGTCAAGAACTCCCACTTTGCTCTTGGGCTGACTCGAACTCACAACCTCTTGGTTGGAAGTGGAGGGTGCTCACCGCTAGACACCGAATACCTAGTGGAAAAAAAAACCTTTCTTCCTCTATCCAACAATGTGATAAATATAAAATAACATTCCTTTAGTACAGAACTACAGATGTATCATATATAGGACGTGTTTGCAACTAATTTTGTTCTGCAAAGTCCAACGCTTAAATAATACATTTTTATAGTACAACTTAATCCATCACAAATGAAATGACTAATTTATAATTAAGATGCATTGAAGATAAGCACTGGACCAATCAGTTTCTTGATTATAGACTTCATTAAACAAACAATTGAAGATTATAAAGTCAAAAATAGAATTAGTGAGAGCTGACCGAACAGTTTATCTGTGTATGCAATGATCACAAGAATATACCAAGATTTCCTACTTTTAGATTTTAATATTCTCTAATTTTGTTAGTGCTAATGCATGTTTACTAATCCTTAATTAAAAATTATAATTTAATTCCATTCAGCAACAAATGATAGGAGATATAGTCAATGCACTGATCATGTCAAAGGTTTTGTGATACTCCTATTTAACCTTGTTTGCTTCTTTATTTAGTATGATAAAGAGAACTCAATTTCATTTTGAAAGATATCTGAGGTCCAAAGTAGATCACTAATGCCTGCATTTAACTACATAAGAAGTCCATCACGTATTAAGAGAGCACTAAGTTGGAAAGAGTTAGTCTTCTTTTCTTTCCTTTTTGTGTTTTCTTGGGCATTTTCAAGAATGTAAATAATCTGCATATGAAGACAAATTCAGGATCTGGAGTCAGTAGATTCAGAATGAGCGTGATCGTATATGTATACATTTTAAATGCTTTTGCATATATATGCATAGTTCGATCTGAAAGCAATGTGTTGAGTTAAACCTACAGAACAAATTTTTGATCCGTGTTTGCTAAATACACGAGTTAATCTTTCATTTTTGTGGTTGTTGCAGAACTTTCATTACTGAAGAGGAGTGGCAGAGTATGGAGGAGAATGATATATCGAAAACAGAAGGGCAAGGAACAGTGCAGTCTCCAACATCTTCAGTTGTTGCTATAGCAATCAGTGGGAACAAGAATAGCAAATATGTGGTGAAATGGGCATTGGACAAATTTGTTCCAGAGGGAGAGACACGCTTCATGTTACTACATGTCCGTCCGGAGATCACTGCAGTTCCAACTCCTAGTAAGTTTATGTCTCTTTTTTGGTCTGTTCTTCAATCAAGAAGTTGAATTTTTTGAAACAAGCCTACAATTGCTCAAGTCATGGAATTAGCTAAAGAATATATGATAGAACATCTTACGTTGAAAGAACCTGAGCATTCAATCTAAAACCTTAAAGCAATGGCGTTGTGGCAATCTTTGTATAAATTCCTTCTGATATCCTTGTATACTTAATATAAAACCTTATAGTTCAACACTCTTCCACAAGCATAACCTGATTTTGACGTGCGGACTCTAATATGGTTTTACAACTACAAGGATGATGTAAAAGTTGGCTCTGATACCATGTGAAAGAATTTGAGCATCCAACTGAAACCTTAAAGCAATGGATGGAGTGTCTAAAAAAGAAACCTCTACAGACCCCTTTGGTTGTCCTATATAGTGGCAGAGCTACGATTTTCACCAAGAGGATTCAAAATATAAAGAAGTGAACACTCAAAGAAGCCAAGAGGATTCAAACTCTAATATATATACATATAAAATATTTTTGACCTTATATATATAGTTGTAATTTTCCGTTGAAGGGGGTTCAGATGAACACCCCTTTCACCACCCTAGCTTTGTCTCCTATACGGTGTATAATTTTATATAACACAATTGACCTAATGGAAGCATTAGAGCATGGTACATTTTGTTACATGCGTTGTAATTAGAGTCTAAACATGCAAGTTGTCACATTTTCTTTTTTTCTAGTGGGAAACTTGATTCCTATTGCACAAGTAAGAGAGGATGTAGCAGATGCCTTCAGGAAGGAAGTCGAGTTGCAAGCAAGTGAAAAGCTTCTTCCTTACAAGACGATGTTTATTAGGAGAAAGGTTCGACTTATATCCTACGATTGAAAAACCTTAAGGAACTACAGTATGGTAAAAAATGCTCATTGTTTAACTAAATGCAGGTGCAAGTAGGAGTTGTTCAAATTGAATCAAATGATGTTGTAAATGCAATAGCAGGGGTGGTATCTAAATGTTCTATCAACAAGCTTGTCATTGGAACCTCAACCCCTGGCCTATTTTCAAGGTACCAATTATATTTGCTCTTCAAAATTCAAAAGAATAAGTGGCTGGTAAGACATAAAAATTCAAAATTCAGAAGTTTAGAGAGTGCTATGTCTTAACTGAAGATTTTTAGTTGTATATCCATTCAGATATCGCGACATTTTCTTGTTGCAATTAGCACGGTATAAACTCATGACGATGCGATAACTTCTAATTGATGCACAGGGGAAGAAACTTATCTGCAAGTATCTCAGAAACTGCTCCAACCTTTTGCACAGTTTATGCTGTGTCAAAGGGAAAACTGTCGTCAGTGCGTCCATCGAGTTATGAAAACAATGGAGCTGTTATAGATGATAGCAGTGATACAAGTAGTTCTTCCAACAATTCTACAGGCCAAAGTTTTAGCTCACAAGGAGGTACAAATTTCTTATTCATATATGTGTTCACTTTCATATGAATTAATGAAGGCTACAACAAACTACATTAAAACAATGTGAACAAGTGATGAAGTGAGAACCAATAGAAGATACTTAATACCAGCTAGAAGTTGGAGACATTTGAAAATCTCAATGATTTGATAGGTCCATCCTGAGGAAAACAGAAGCAGTCAAACCTCACTATAATGGCATAGTTTGTTCGGAAAATTATTGGCTGCTGTAGCAAAATGCTGTAATACAGAACATATAACATAACATAACATGAAAAGTACGTTTCAAAGAAAACTTGGCCGTTATAATGAAATATTGTTATAGAAGATGACTGTTATAGAGATGTCTAATTGTATATGTCATAAACAAGAATCTTAAAAGAAAGTTGTACCTATTCAATTATTGTCATAACATTAATATCTTGTCCTTTAATTCTCAGAGAGGACGGATCACAGCTCAACTTCACCTGCTTCATACTCTCATTTGTATTCTCCTACTCGTAAATTGCAACGCTATCAATCAAAATCCCCAACACACCATGCCCTGCAGACACTTCTCCATAAAAGAACAAATATTGGTGAAACCATCCAATCTAGAACTTCATCTATCGACATTGGAGAAGCATTTCAAGCCCTCTCAATTAAAAACAATACTAAAAGAGCAAATCTGAATGAAGTCATCCATCCTAGAGCTATGACTATTGCTACCGGAGAAGCTGAGGATGACAAAAGTTGCTATTTCAGTAGCTCAGGAATTACTGATCCAAATAGTCTTAATTCAAGTTTCAAGAAAGCAAAATTAGACAATCAACAATGGTCTACAAGTCAGTCTTCCAACTCAGATGCTCCAACAGATTCTTCATCTGGAAGTCAGGTGATCATATTCTTCTTTCAATTATACTTTCTTTGAAGGGAAGCCTTGGAGTAACTGTAAAGTTGTCTCCGTGTGACCTATGGGTCACGGATTCAAGCTGTGGAAGCAGCCACTAATGCTTGCATTAGGTAGGCTGTCTACATCTCACCCTTTGGTGTGCGGCCCTTTCCCGGACACTGCGCGAACGCGGGATGTCTTGTGCACCAGGCTGCCCAATTATGCCTTCTTTCATTTAACATGCAGTAATATACATTCACTTTGCTTATATGAGGAGCTTCCTATTGCCTCCAGCAACTTTCTTAAGGATTAGTGTATCTTAGGATGTCTTGGTTTAGCAGTTTTATGCATAGTCATATTATGTGGTAGCAGTTACCTAAAAATGACCTAGTTCTTTTTATGAATTTCAACACTAAAGTTCTTACATATATGCAGGTTAACATCAATTATGACCTAGAAAAACTGAGAATTGAGCTCAAACATATTCAAGGAATGTATGCAATAGCTCAAACTGAGGCAATAGATGCTTCTCGGAAGGTAATTTTAATTTCAAACTGAATTTGTGGCAAATATCGGAACCACTACCCTTCTCAGACCCCACTTGTGGACTACACTGCTAACTTATATGAATGCCTATTCTCATTGGTTCTGTTTTTTGTCAGCTGAATGAATTTCAGAAGCTTCGAGTGGATGAAGCGAATAAGCTGATGGAGATAAACCTTAAGGAGGAGGAAGCCAAAGAATTTGCAGAACAAGAGAAGTTAAAATGTGAAGCAGCAAAGAAGGAAGCTGACTATGCAATGGAATGTGCTGAAAGAGAAGTTGAGAAAAGAAGAGCAGCAGAAAGCATTGCAAACCGGGAGGCTAGAGCTAAAGAAAAGCTTGAGAAATCATTAATACTACCTCTCCATCACTACCAGAAATTCACGTGGGAAGAGATCATGACGGCTAGCGCATCTTTCTCTGAGGATCTTAAGATAGGAATGGGATCATATGGAATGGTTTACAAGTGCTATTTGCATCATACAACTGCAGCAGTGAAAGTTCTTCATTCCACCGAGGCTCATAGAACTAAGCAATTTCAACAAGAGGTATGAGAAATATCTAAACTGAGAAATAAGTAAACAAGAATGCATAAAGGAGTTTTGAATAAAGTGTACTAGTTTCACCCCAAACCCTGAACCAAAGTATGAGTTCGGCCGAACCCAGTAACTTTGATCCAAACTCTATATTTATCTTAAGAAATCCACTTTTATTAGTTTAGAACACAGTCATTTAAAAGGTCCAGAATCCTGAACCCATAAATATCAAATCCTGGTTTTGCCTCTGCCACTACTCAAATCAGGCTTTGAATACAACTAACTACATTTTTTTGAATTATTTTACAGCTTGAAATATTGAGCACAATTCATCACCCTCACTTGTTAATTCTACTTGGCGCATGCCCTGAACGCGGTTGCCTAGTATACGAGTACATGGAGAATGGAAGTTTGGAGGATAGGTTGATAAGGAAAAACAAAACACCGCCACTTGCATGGTTTGACAGGGTTCGGATAGCTTGGGAAGTTGCTTCTGCTCTTGTTTTCCTTCATTACACGAAGCCAAAACCGATCATACACCGTGATTTAAAGCCAGCTAACATACTGCTTGATCATAACTTGGTGAGCAAAATAGGAGATGTTGGACTTTCAACAATGGTTCACTCAGACTCTTCCTCAGCAATGACGGCATACAAAGACACGAGTCCAGTTGGCACACTTTGCTATATAGATCCTGAGTATCAAAGGACAGGATTAGTCTCTACAAAATCTGATGTTTATGCTTTTGGAATGGTCATTCTGCAGTTGCTTACTGCGAAACGTGCCATAGCTTTAGCCCATATGGTAGAAATGGCAATCGAAGACAATAACTTAGTGGAGTTGCTGGATCAAGAAGCCGGTGAATGGCCTATTGAAGAGACAAAGGAATTGGCTGTGCTTGCTATAAAATGCACTGAGCTTCGACGTAGAGACAGACCTGACTTGAAAGATGAAGTTCTCCCTGCTTTAGAGAGATTGAAAGAAGTCGCTGATAGAGCTCGAGATTTGATATATATCCTATCTCCATCTCCTAGCCACTTCAAATGCCCCATACTCAAGGTACACTTATATTTGTTAGTAATATTTCGGTCTGATTTTTGACAGTAAATATGCAGCCAAGAAAAAATATAAAGCAGGTCTAATTTACATTAGGCTATATCTATAATGCATATTACAAAGTCAGTACCTGCTCTTTGCTTCATTTACTAAAGGGAAACTCTGCTACAGGAAGTGATGCATGACCCTTGTGTTGCGGCTGATGGATACACTTATGACCGGAAGGCAATAGAGTCATGGCTAAAGGACAACGATCATTCACCAGTGACGAATTCACCATTACCACATAAACAACTGCTGGCAAATTACACACTTCTCTCTGCTATCAAAGAATGGAAGTCAGGGAAACATTGATACACGACTTTCAGCTATATTCTTAAGCTTCTTTATAAGAAAGGAATCTCTACCACATGTACATACAACTTTTAGTGTTAGTCGACAGATTAGTCTCCTAGATACATGCTTTGTAAATGAAACAACTGATTGAAAATATAAAGAATCAAAGGCAAATTCTGCTCACTGATGAGCTACAATGTAAAGAATTTTGTAAAGAACTTTTCCAAATAAACACTTGAATGTTAACAAGAGGTTAACATAAACATAAGCAAGTACTTTGTTGGATTCTCACTTTCATGTTTTTCCTAGTTTATATATATATGTAGATCGTACTTCAACAGATCCTGTTTAACAGTAGGAGAATGGAAATAACGAAAACAGGTAAAAGTCAAATACATAGCCAGGTGTTCATAGATAGATCCAGCTTTGTCATTATATAGCAAATACGTCTTGAAGGCCTAATCAATCAATAGGTTAAAACCTTTTAAGAGATGGAGCCTCATAATTCTTAGTATAATACTGGAGAAGATTTCGTTCATTCTTTTCATTCTTAGAGTATGATACATAAAACTGAGAATATTATTGCTTGTTTTAAGATGAAGCCAGACAACATTTAGGTTAAGTAGCAACTTGAGCTATGAGATAGGTATAAAACACTCACTAGGTCAAAGTGCTAAGGCAGAAATGTATACTAAAGGAGTTTTGAAGTATAAAAATAGGTACATTGTTCGAGAATGAGGTGATTTTTCCTTTCGGCCACACCAATATTTTGGGGCGTAAAAGAGCATGTTGGCTAATGAAAAGTACCAATATGATCCGAGAAATAAAACTGCAACACCTTACCGACGAATACTCAACCATTATACAATCTGATAAAAATCACCTTCAAAGAAAATTGGATCTGTACCGTTTTATGAAATAAGCAGATTAAACATTCATACATATCACTCTTTACAAAACAAAGTCATCTATATAAGTAGGACAATGGGCAGGACCTCCCGAATGATTCAAAGTAAAAAGTTCTGACTGTCTTATCCTCAAGAAGATGACATGGAAATTAATTTGACTCAAAGTTAATATTGCTGTCTTCACCAGAAGAAGAAAAGTGAAAAAAAGAGACATAAATGATAAAACAAAGATTGTAAATCCTGAAATGTCGGACACATTCCCTATAGAATTACTGGTTTTTGCCTTTTTGGTACTCAGTCTGCTTCCTATCCAGAATGGATTCTCAATCAAATGATGAACTGAAGGCAATGACGACGTGCTGTAAGTCGAAGAATTTAACTTTGCGGGGCTTGTAGAGGGCCAAATATGGTTCCTGATTCCCTTCGCTAGCCATAAGAGAAATCACATTAAATGTAAATTCAAGAAAAGACGAATCTCCTGGACATCTAGTACTATAAACCATTTCTCGTGAAGGTTGTTCACGTAGATCAATGCGATACTTTAGGCTCCAAGAGGAATAGTTACTTCCCAATTCGTATACATGACTGAATAGCCAACCAAATGTAAATTCCCATGGACACATCCAAAGTAGTATAATGTTCATCCATTTTTGGCATTGGATAAGAGTGGAGAATTTCACTATTACTCGGATGACAACTTAACTATACCAAATTATCTCCTAAAGTCTACTTTTATTTCGTTTGTAACAATAAAATCACTTAACTGTACTTATAACACTCAGAAGGTCACTCAACTAGATTTTTCAATTTTTTGATTGTCAAATACCTAATTTACCCTCTAAATTATTATTTTTTTAAATTTTTAAATATTATAATTTTTTTCTCTTTTTAATCTACATTGTGGACTTACCTATAGAATAAATATATTTTATTTATAAAATAAAAAATAAAAAATCACTTTTCAGCTCATATAATGACGGAAAAATAATATAATTGAGCATAATTTTCAAGAATATATAATGTGTATTATAAAAATACCTTTATTTAAATAATTATTTTTATATTACGTGCATGGATATATATTTTACCTCCTTTATTTTATTTCATTCTCAATTGTGTAAATAATTTTTTAAATTTTTGTTGTTAATACTAAAATTACTACGAACAAATTATTCTAATTAATTTTCTTACTATGCTCATTATTTTGTTATTCCAGCATTATATATGCTTAAATACTTTTTATTTTTTTAATTTATAAATAATTTTTTTTTTGATAAGTATAAATAAAATTTATTTATTATATAGGTAAGTCTATAATATAAATTAAAAAGGGAAAAATCATAATATTAAAAAGTTAAAAAAAATAAAAAAAAGATAAATGTTTATAATTTAGAGAGTAAAATAGGTGTTTGGCAATCCAAAATTTGGAAAATGTAGTTGAGTGACCTTCTGAGTGCTATAAACATAGTTAAGTGACTTTGTTATTAGAAAAGAAAAAAAAATAACTTTATCACATAATTTGGGATAGTTGATTGACCATTTGAGTAATTGACTTAGAATTTCCCTATCAATATCAAAATAGAAAAATCTATTTAAATGACTAGACGTCCAAAATATAGATCCACTGAAGAAAACTCTCTTTTCCAATGGGAAATACGGTTCAAATGGTTTTGGAAATCGAGCTCGAGATCGCCTACAAAAATTAGTATCTGAAGAGTATATCTCAATATGGAGATAGAGCCCAATTCTTTCTATGTGAAAGGCGACATTAATAACTTTGTAATGATGTGATAGTGAATGGTCAAAGGCCAAACTCATTTCTAGTGAATCCATATATATTTGGGCTTGGAAGAGCAGAGAACTGCTTTGTAGTTGGGTTACAGACAATGTACTTGTCCAAGCACTTGCGACAAAGAATTAAACCACCACAGGAATTCAAAACTTTAACAACTTCATGGGAATAGGCTTTGATATAATTAGGTACGTTATTGGTATAACATTTTAAGAAATCGAATACCGAAAATACCAAATTGTAATATAAATACCGTACAGTATCGAGCGACGAACACGCCTGCTTGAACCCGAAGAGAGGTTTTGCTGGGAGTAGTAGTAAAATATTGGTTAAACGATCATCACTGCCTTCAATTTTTTCAGCACTAAGAGAAACTACTTGTTCAACTAGAACAGTTTACTGAGGCATCTTGATATGTTTGTATGAATTCATAGCTATATATATATATATATATATATATATATAATGAATGGAGAATGATGAGTTCAGTCCCCAACAAGGGACTTTCAATATTCTCAACAGAAGATTTAATGAATTATTCTCAAAGTAGTTGTGTTGTGATTCCACTTTTCAAGATTACAGAAAACAAAGTGTCCCTAGCCTACATACATTATTCATGTGGGGCTCGTATTGAAAGAAAACAAAAATAAAAGAAGAAAAATGGGATGAGACGTAACTAACTTTGTTGAAGAAAAATGGGATGTGTGATGCCTAACTTTGTTGAAAAATTATAGGACTAAATCAATAACAAGCCATCTTCTTTGTAATAGTTGGACGACATCTCTTGCTATTAATAGATGTCTCAATTCTTCATTTCAATTACACCAAAATTAGAGAGAGTAATTCACAGATTGGAGTCTGTGAGATAAATAGTGAGTGTGAGTAATATGGTAGTGATGTATTTTTAAATAAAAAGTGTTATTTCTTTCAAAGTTGTAGTAGTCTCTCGACACTACTAAGTTGTAATATTATAGTGATTATATTGCTCCGCTCGAATATTGTATTTTACATCATTAAGAGAGTTGGTGTTGTTGTTACTCTCTTGTGCTATTATTATTATTTGCCGTGGATATAATTCATGGACGGGATTATTATTTTTTCCTAACAATTCATAAGATAAATAGCACTAAGCATTGGGATGCATACGAGCACACCATTCAAAAGCACGAATAATCTCGAGAATATGGAGATTTTTAATTTTGGCCATACCATTTATATATGAGGTGCATGTAAAAGAGAATGTTGTCTCATGATTAATACCAATAAAATCCTAGAAATATGATAACAAGTTACAACACCTTACCAATGAATACTCTACCATTATCCAAGCTGATAAACATCGGCTTAATAGAAAATTAAATGTTTATCAAATTTATGAAGTAAGCAAAAACATTCCTACATATCACTCGAATGGTTCATCGCGTATAATCATGTCATCAACTATAATCATTAAAAGAAAATCACAAACCAATAATATAAAGATAAAGTAGGAACATGAGCAGGACCGCAAAATTAATGGTTAAAAAAGGACAGCACGATATATTAAGCTCTCGCTATGCGCGGTATTTACGGAAGGGTCGGACCACAAGGGTTTATTGTACGCAATCTTACACTGCATTTCTGCAAAAGGCTGTTCTAGAACTCTTTTGTTAGAAGCACGAAATCATTGTCATGAGTGAAAATAGTAAGAATAGTGAACATCCACATTTACTAAAGGTTTTACAACAGCAGCCATCTTATGGGAATTAATTTGAATTAAAACAATAAGAAAGAAGACATAGAACGATTTTAAACCCTGAAGTGCTAAATTTTGAATGATTACGAATAAGATAGAGCAACAAAACTGTCAGACACGTTCGTTATATACATAACTACTTGTCTGTACTACTCGGACTTTGCTTCCTACCCCGAATGGATTCTCAATCAAATGATGAACTGAAGGTAATGGCACCCAGCGTGTCGCGTTTTTGGCATGGCATGGTATATTGTAGAGGGACAAATAAGGTTCTTGATTCCTTTCTCACGGCTAGAAATACGCTAAAAACCGATCAAAGTTGGTTGGTTATGGCCAATTATCGACCAAAACGCGATCATTAGGGTGTGGACGGTGTTTTGATGGTCGGAATGGCTTACCGACCAACGTTGGCCGGTAGCTTAAAACGACCATCTGGCAATTTTAATTACTTACCGACCAACTTTGGTCGGAAATATATTTTATTAATTTAATTTTACCGACCAAAGTTAGTCGGTTTAACTAAGTTATGTTTTTTTATTAATTATTAAAATTAAAATAAACAACCAACTTTGGTCGGTAATTGAAAATATATATATATTTTAAAATAATTAAAATTAAACATTACCGACCAACTATGGTCGGCAACCTCAACAGTGCAGGCAAAATACCAACCAAAGTTGGTCGGTAATGTTGAATTCTGGAAATTCAATGTTCATTAACCGACCAACTTTGGTCGGTATTTTGGAATAATTTTTTTTAATTAAAAACTGACCAATCATAAAATGCCTGTTTTGGCAGCTACACCACCTGCCAACATACTAATACATCTAATAACAACTGAATTATAACAATAACAATAATAATAACATAACAACAACAACAATACAACAACACAACAACAACAACACCAACAACAACACAACAACCAAAACATTCAATAAATACTTTAAAACTAACAAATTAAAGTTCAATTGAATATAAAAATCCAAAATCAAGTTAAAACTAATTACAACTAGTTCAAAACTGGTTTTATTTGTCTAGTTCAAAGTATATAAAAGTCATGGGGTGTTTTCTACAATATCATCATCACCGTCTGATGAACTTTCATTTACAAGACGGTATAGAGAACGGTCTTGTGGAGGACGGGAAGAACGATCACGGGGAGGGCGGGAGGAACGATAACGAGCAAGACGGGAGGAACGATCACATGGAGGTCGACCCTCTGGAGATGACTTACGAGACCGGGGCAACGGAAAAGCTCCAGTAGATAGGAGAGTTCTGATCCGAGCTTGCATGCCAAGGAATTGAGCATCTCTAAGCCTTTCTCTTTCCTTGACCGCTTCTAACTCGAATGTGAGCTTTGTCACTATCTCCCGCATAGTGGAGAGCCTCTCCCTATTAAGTTGCTCGCCTTGCGAGGAAGTCCCTATTCCTCGCATTCCACACTTATAGCGATGGAAGTTTTTAGTAGGAAGCCCGTATACCTTCCCCCATTTTGGACCGCCAACAGACTCCAACCATATTCTTTCAGCATCCTCGTCCGAAGGTTGGGTTGGCTCACCCGATTCACCAGCTGGATGACTACGGATGAATTCCTCCACGTTACTTTGGTAGCGACCCTATATTATTTTAAATTAAATCAGTATTTCAAGTTTTTTATAAAAGTAAATTATAATACTTAAATAAAATTGAAAGCTTACATATGCAGTCGAGGCCCGGTCCTCGACCCACCTATCTTGATCCCCCTCTTTCTTCTTCTTCTTCTTCTTCTTCTTCACAATATGCGTCTCCTTGAATAGCTCATCATGGCTCATTGGACACCTATACTTCTTTTCCTGAAAATAAATTAATTTAGTTAATAAACAGAATAGATATACTTAGAAAAGTAAAATAATTTAAGCAATTAAGTACCGATCTTCTTTTTATTGTCCCTAGGCTGATCGCACCTCCAGTGTGCAAGGAGCCTCCCTTCTCGGATGCGCGAGCTTTTTTTCCTTTTCCGCTCCTCTCTAAGAACTCCGCGATAAGCCATTACCTTTGCAAATCATTCCACAAATTCTCAAGTAACCAGCCGGGCCTCTTGTTCTTCTTTCTAGCATCCGATAAAGCATCCGCCAATCTCTTGCGAGCTTTATGATGAAAATTTGCAGCCACTTCCATGCTATAACGGTCTTCCCATACACACTTGCTCTGTATTTCAAAAGTTAAATATTAGATGGAAACATCATAAATAT